GGTCCCCTCCCTCCTTGATTTGCAGACTGCAGCTGCTTTTATCTCCTGCCCGCCTTCTGGCTTTCAACTGGTATCCAGACTCTGTCCATGTGACCCTTTTCTGCAAGACAGGCGTCCCTTTTCCCTCTTTGTTTCGGGCTCCCCAGAAGACAGATCCCATCGTCCTGTGTGGGTGTGCTTCCCCCCACCTTCTCCTTCCATGGGGAGCTTCTCTGGGGTCTGACTTCTGAGGAATACGGTCTTCCCAGACAGAGCCACTTCTTGGAATTTTTTAACGTGTGCGCCACACGACAAAGATGCTCACGGGTGGTGGAAAGAAAGAGCCTTTTTTCCCCTCTTCTCAGACAGAAGCAAATTTTGTAGGGTCAACGGGCACTGAGCTCAGGTCGGTGAACTAATTACAGTCCTCCCGTGCCCTCTTTGAATGCCAGCATCCAGAAAGAGGCTTGTGTTAACGATTTTGGGAAGCCGACCGGTCTGTGGCTTTCATCATCTTGAAAGCGCCTGTCTCTGCACATCGTGGGCCAGTGTTCTCTGCTCTGAGCCGGGCCTTGTCCTTTGCTGGCTGTCTGGCAGATTTCCCGGCTCTGTGTTTTTGGACACCCTCCCCCCCCCCATCGATGTCTGGTCTCTTCGGGAGCTTTTTCCACCGTTTGCAAGAGACCCGTCCAGGTTGCATCCCTCGCCCTGAAAAGTGAGAAAGGTGTCCCTGGGCTGTAATCGGGTGGAATGTTCTGGAGGCTGTGGAATAGCGCTTAAGGAGACCTGCAGCCGGCCAGTTCTTCTCTCCTTTCGGGTGGAGCCCAGAGCTTTCAGGGGAAGTGGGTGCGAAACACGCAGCTTCATGGTGGCATCAAGGCAGAATCTTTTACTGGTAGAGAAGCCCATTTGGGCTGGGGGATTCTGCATGTCGTAGCCTGAAAGAAGTAACTTCCTCATGAACTGCTGGGTCCTTCTCTTTGCAAATTCAAGCCTGGCCCTTCCTAGGTAAAAGGCTCAGGAGCCGCCTGGGCAGTGGGACGGGTTATTTGCCCCAGAGGGCAAATATGTCAGGGTAGCCCACGCTGGCTAGGAGAACGGTGGTTCTGAGCTGCTCTCGGGCCATATCTTGCCCCTGGCAATAGACCTGGGCCACGTCACTTCTCTCTGGTGCACTAGAGTCATCAAATGCTTCCTTGATCGTGTTGGTAGAGAACATTTTGTGGTTGGGCAGAGAGGAAATGGGTGCCAGATACCGTTCTATCAGCCTGCCGGGATCCTTCTATCACGTTCTTTCTCCTAGCTGCCTGGAAGTTTTAGAGCTGAGCATTTAATCATTAAGCCTTGCTGGGCTTTCATCCTGGCCACGCGGGAGAGATAGCCACTCTGAGGTGGATTTAGGGCTAAGCCCCGATTTGCTCCAAAGTGGTTTCTTACGATGGGGATGAAATCTGCAAGATACCTCGTAGCTCAAACAGAACTACATGCAAAGGTGGATCTATGAGATACGAAACCTGGGGAAGGTTTCAGGACAAAATGGTGTTATGGCAGCAAAGGAGAGCAATAAAGCCACTTGTCAGGACCAGCTAAAGTCAGTAGAAAGGGCTGCGCAGAGTTTTGCGTTGGACAGCCCGCTCGATGAAAAAACACAACCCGGGGTGTGTGTGTGTGGGTGGAAAGAGGATTGGAACCGGGCACAGCAGGGGCCCTCTCTGGAATATGTTGCAGTGTGCGGGTGGTTCAAAGTGTTCAGGCAGGTCTGGGTTCAAATCCCCCCACTCCACGCCCTAAAGCTCATGGGGTGCTTTGGGGGTCGTAGGCCCACCCTTGGCCACCTAAGCCTTCCCTGCACAGCCGTTGGGAGGATAAGACGGGGCTTGAGGATGCTTGTGGGTGGAGCTCATTTGCCTTGGATGCAGAACAAAACCCATGCTGCTTAATGGTCTCACTGGGCTGATCTTTTCCTTTCTCCTTGCAGTGACTGTGACACGCCCAAGAGAAAAAAGCTGGGCACAGACTTCAGGAAGGAGTGGTCCTCGCAGGATTCGGTGTCTTCGGAGTGCTCTCAGGATTCGGTGTCTTCGGAGTCGGCCGACTCAGGTTGGTGGTGCTTGGATTGGTGGCTGCCTGTGTTCTTCCTAGAGGCATTGCCTGGGTCTCGGGGGTGTGTGGCCTTTTTTGTTCTTGAAATGGAATTGCCACTTTCCTCACCTCCGTTGAGCGCCAAATGGCACACTTTCCCTGCTTCCATGCATCACACAATGCGCTTTAATCCCAGCCCTGGATGGATAGTTTGGGCTTGGAGTCGTCGCCCTGTCTGCTCCCGGCCCCGCCCGAGCCGGACACGCCCTGGTTCTCCCTTCTCACGGGGCGCTGGGAAGAGTCGCCCCCCATAAAGCCTTTGGCCTCGTCTTCCTCCCCCTTCTAGAAGCCCCCCAGCCATTTTCGTAGCCTTAAAGAGACAACTTGCCGTTGAAATCGTCTCTTAAAAGTGGTCGGTGAAACCTCTTCTGCTTGTGATCCTCAGCTATCCTGGCCCACAACATTTTCGTGTTCTAATGATGGCGCCACTCCGGCCTCCTCACTTAAAGGACTCCGCACCTTTTGCTTCCCGCGCTTGGAAGCATTCTCCCAGAATGAAGAGGCAGCCCCACGCTTTTCCCTTCCAGTCTTTGATTTGGTTTTAGTTTGGGATGTACTGTTTGAGATCAAGGATGTGAAACTGCATGCCCATTTTTATCCATCTCTGCTTGATTGTACCTCTCATCCCGCTATTTAATTCTGTGGGCAAGGATACTTCTTCCCCCTGCCCGCCCGCCCTTTACCTCTTATGATTATGATGATGCTGTAAACAGTGATGGGCAATTATTTGGCTTATAAGCTGGAAACTGCTCCTGTCGGGAACCTCTAGAAGCATTCAGGTTTGGAGAAGGCTGGAGTCCCAAAGAATAGCCAGAGCTTTCTTGTGCATCAAATATTCCCTGTGGGACAAATCGAAAATGGTCTTTTCACAATTTGAAGAAACTTCTCCTCTCCTTCTTATCAAACAATGCCAGATTCTGGAGAGGATCCTCTGTCGTAACCAACCTTTGCTGTCTTAGGGTTCCGATGCAGAAGACCCAGCAGGGGTTTGATTGCTAAAAGCTTGACCAAACTTGGGGATTTTTCCCTTCACATCCATGGGTCCAGAACCAAACCACTGTAGGATGTTCGCCCGGGAAATGGATTCCTTTAGCTTGCATTTAGAGGTTGGCATGACTTTGAGCAGTTTCTTTCCACATCGCAGGTACCAGAGAGATTGTGATATCCGTGATCCACTCGGAGAGCAGTTACTGGCCTCTGACTGGATTAAATAGTTGCCAAGTTCATGAGAAAGCTAGAAGGGTTGTTTTTTTTTTGGGGAGGGGGTGGAATTCTGAACCTGCCTGATTATACTGAGAAGCTGAGTGAGGGAAGAACAGAAAGGCCGTTTCCTGCGTCCTTACAAATACCTTTTTCTTTATTCAGGTATTGGTCCAGATTCACCCAGAGGTCCAGATGCAGAAATATTTGAAGATGTGTAAGTTGGAACTTTTCCCTGATGGCTATACTGTACCTGGGGGACTGGGTGGGTACCGCTTCACCTGTACCCACATGATGAGCATTAGTTGAGGCGCTTTAGCAGGGTGGCGTGTTGCGCTGTGATGGTCGGTTGAGGAATTCTGATGACCGTGGTTGATGAGGAAGAGGCTTTCTATCTCTGGAGAAGACTCTTGGCTTTGGTTGAAGTACCACTAGGCATGTACAAAGTTCTGCACAGGAATATGAAATCTTGCCTTAGAGCAAGTACGACAGCGGGACCCGGGACCTGGGGAGTTGGGGAGCCGTCCAACCCTGGAGGCATTCAAGAAAAACTTAGATCATCACCTGGCAGGTATGCTTTGATGGTATTCCTGCCTTGAGCAGGGGGTTGGGCTTGATGCCTGATTCTATGAGAAGTCCAGCGCTGGAAGAGGGACCCTGTGGGATCACCCAGTCCAGCCCCTGTCAAGGAGGCCCCCGTGGGGGGAATCAAACCCCCATCCTCTAACTCCACAAGCCTCAGCCCCCGAGCCATCTGTAGTTCAGTAAACGCTCTGTGTGTCTAAGCCTCTGGATGTTTTTTTTTCTGCACTCTGTCAAGGAGGCCCAGTGAGGAATTGAACCCCCATCCTCTAACTCCACAAACTTAAACCCCCGAGCCATCTGTAGTTCAGTAAACACCCTCTGTGTCTAAGCCTCTAGATGTTTATTGTCTGCACCACGGAAACATGCTTCCCTCTGGTTTTGCTGGCTAGAGGAAGGGCTGTTTAAAAACCTTTTCCGCAAAATAGCAGGTTGGCCGATGGCATTTCAGCCGAATTACTTGCATGTTTTGCCTTTCCTCTTACTCGGAAGCTTGTGGAATTGCAGCCAACGTACGGATAATGCTCAGAAGGCTTGTTGATAGGAACTGCGACAGGCTGCAGCCTGGTGAAAAACCTGTAACGTCAATTTGAGGTTAGGGTTTGAAGCCTAAAAGGGCTAGCTCCCTGCCTTGAGCTGTACAGGAGAATATTTTGCTGACGTGTTCAGCACTGCATTTCAGCAGCCGTTGAAGGTTTCTTACCGAAATCCTGCAGTGGCTTTTCTTTGAAGCTCTTGGGACGGCTCCCCTCCCTTTCTTCCTCCATTGATGGCCTGTGCCTTCGTACTAGCTCTGTTCTCTTTAAAGTGGCAGGATTCTGGTGCTTTGAAACGCTGGTATTCCCCAGAAGTTTGCTTCCAAGGGCCCCATCTCCCACCTAGCCAATTCTGCAAATTCTCTCGATGACAGGGGCTGGATGGTGTCACAGTTTCAGACTCCTTTCTCGTACCCCGGGGATCTGTGCAGGGCCTTCCGGGTTTGGGGGAACACCCACATTGGACTTAACACGGCCTTGTTTGCCTCCAGCTGAAGTTTTTCTTCTGTTGCCCAAGAAAGGTGGGGAATTTCTTTTCCCTCCCGACGGCACCTTTGACTCCAGAAGTCTTGGGTGTGCCAATCCTTGTTGACAACTTAAGGATTAAAAAAACACCCCAAAACCAAAACGCTGTTCTGCTCAGGGCAGCCTCCTTCGATGCTTCCTCTCTTCAAGGCTCAGGGTGTGGGGAAGGGTTGTGAAAGATTTCTCAGGGTTCGGTGGCTGGCCATGATCTGGCGGTTTCCTGCTCGCTGTTTCTTTAGAGGCTGGCTGGGAGGAGGCTGGCGGGCAGCTTCTGGCCCCTGGCGTGCAGGTGTCTGTGGAACAATTACTTGTTCTGTGTTAGAAATGATAACTGTGTGCAGATCTCTGACGCAAGTCTTCTGCGTGGGAGCATGCATCGGTTGGTCATGGTGAAATGCAACCGGTGGGAACTTTGCTTGATTAAATCCATTTGGGATCTGTAGGGCTAAGTGATCTCGCAGCCCCCAGCCCATATAGACGGTGGCAGTAGTTTCCTGTGTTGCAGGTAATATATCCAAGCTTCATAAACAGTTTCTAAGATAATGAGATTTGATGGAGAAGCTGTAGTCCCCAGCCCCATAAAAGCCTGTGAAAGGTTGAGATTTAATAATCTGCAATAATCTTTGAACGGCAGGGCTGGAAAGGGACCTTATGGGTCATCTAGTCCAGCCCCGTGGGGGGAATCGAACTCCCAACCTCTGGCTCCACAGACGCCTAGATCAACAGAAACAGGCACTGTCTGATTGAAATCAGTAAATCCATGATACAGGGACTCCCTCCAATCTTACTTGCTGGTCTGTCTTGGAGTGGGAGAGGGGAGACCCTGTGAGAGGCCGGCTCTTAACATCTGGCCAGGAAGGCAACGTGTAAATGATTCCCGTGCTTTTCACAGAAGTTTTTCTCCTTTAGGGTCCGCTCCTGGCCCCGATTATGCCTCTCAAGGTTTTCTCAAAGGGGGGGGGAAGAGAGAGGCTTCCAAGGGGCCCCAGGGGCCCACCTGCTTTTCAGAGGAAGGGGAGGGAAACGTCCCCTGCCGCCACCTCCATTCTCTGCCTTGCACATTTTCCAGCTCCGGCAGCTGTGGGGTTGGTGAATGTGTAACTCGGACAGATGGCTGCCGAGGAGGAAGGGGGGGGGAAACGAGGTTTCATTTTTCCTTTTTAAGCCCGGAACATCTGCTTGAATGCCTTTACTCCCTTCTTTGGCCTCTCAGAGAGAGAGAGAGAGAGAGAGATTGCATTAAAGGCTTGCATTCAAAAGCAGGCTCAGGCTCTCCCCTTCTTCCTGCCCCACCTTCCTCTGGCGTTGCATTGAATTGGCTGGCTTAGATGTTGAAATGAGCGGCTCCCCCATGGAAAGGGCTTCTTTTCTCCCTCCCTCTCTTCTCTCGGGTTGCAATCCGACTGTTCCTAAGGAGCCCTTTCGTTCCTGGGCCCAGGAGTGCCAGGATACCGACTCTGCCTCCTTTGGATCCGTGCCTTGGAAAGTCGCCGTACACATGGCTGGCTGAAGTTGTTTTATGTGCATTGTAAACTGGGGGAAAGCAAACAGGAAACACGGGGTCTCCTCTGTGTGTGATTCAGGCCACAGATGTGGTGCGACGGTGTTTTTTACTTGTGGAAAACAGCAGGGAGAGCCGTGGCCCTTAAAACTTGGAAGTTTGGGACTTGCTTGGCGGAAGGTTAGCTCAAATAAAGCATGTCAGGGTTTAAAGTGCCCCGAAATCTCTTGTTTTGTACATGGGTACAGCCCCACCCCACCCCACCCCCAGAAAGAACGTGTGGACCCTGGCTTGTCGGCCAGCAGTTCTCCCATCCCATCTCGGATATAATGGGGTGGGTGGGTGGATGGGAATTTCCTCTTGAGGAGTTTTACGCTGGACCTTGAAGGTGGGTTATTCAGACTGGGGAGCCCGTTAATTCCGATGCCTACATGGAGCAATTTCCTCGGGTTCTGAGTCATGGATCGGGTTTTCTGGAACTAGCCAGCCTCCAGGGTGGATAAAAATCCATGATCATCTTTTAAAATCCAATGGATTTAAATCAGGAGCTTATTCAGGATGTAAAAAAAATTGGTTTTTTTTTAAAAAGAAAATTAAGTTGTACAAAACAAACACCATTTTAGAACACTTTTAATGGAATCCATCATACAAGCCTTTCACGCCACTGAACTGCAGAGAAGCCAAACCTCCCCAGCTAGTTTGGAAGTGGTGAGGAGATACCAGAAGAGGAGGGGTGTGTACGCGCACGTGTGTGCTTGCTGAGCATTCGGCAAGAGTGTGGCTGAGGGGGGGGAGCCTGCTGGAGAGGAGAGGGGCTTTTGCATCAGAGCGTGCTGCTTTTAGGCAGGGCGTGAAGAATGCACTCCCCCCCCCCGCCCCGCCCCCATCTTAGAAATCCACTGGTTGTTGCAAATGTTTGGTAGATGCAGTATTGATTTGCATGCATTTTAAAAAAATAGTGGAAAAGAGGGAGAGATGGAGGTGTGGGAGCCCAGTGATGCCCGACAGATGGCCCTTGAGTGGAGCCCCTTCCTGCCTTCCTTCCTCCCCTCGGATTTGCATACAGGTGGGAAAGCTGCAAACGGCGCAGCGGGCCTGTTGCTATGGGAATGCCCTCATTAGGCCCAGGCTGGGACTCCAGAGGGCCCTTTGATCCTCCTCCTTGGCAATCTATTATTTGGTGCCTTTTCTTCCCGAGGCTCCATCAGGCGGGTCCTCCAACACCCACAGAGGAGCTTTAGTGACGGGCGGCTCCCCTTTGGGGCCCGCCGGGACCACCCAGCCCCAGCCAGGCCACGCTTAGGCGGGAGCACGGGAGCGGCTGGCGCGCCTGAGAGAAGCCTTGGCCCCCGGGGATGGGGTCAGTGGTTAAAGAGGCGTGCTGTCGATGGTGGGGAGAGCATGTATTTTGCGTGTAGAAGGTTTCGGGTTCAGACACACACACCCCCGCCTCGCCAGATCACGACGGCGGGGAAAATAATGCAATCCATGACGAGCCAAAATCGCTGTGTAGCCCATAAGGAACAAAACAGAATCAGAGTTGAATAGAAGGCAGCGGGAAAAGAGGAAGACATAGTATGAGATGGATTGACTTGTTAAAGGAAGCCCCAAGCTTAAGTGGGCAAGAGCTGTTGGCGAGGGCTGTTGAGGACAGGACCGTGTGGCAGATCGCTCATTCCTGGGGTCACTATATGTCGGAAGCTGCTCAATGGCAGTGACCACTACAGTTGATTTTACTCAAGTGTTACAGAACTGGTTCCGTAAAGGGGCAAGATTCTGAGTTCTTTAGGACTCTCCATCCGACATGGGGGTTCAAAATCAGGAGACGGGAAGTCTGGAAATCTGGCCAGTGCTTTAGCAGCATGGCTGAAGCCCCATAGCTGCAAGGTGGGTGCTGAAACGCCATGGAAAGAGGTGTGAAGAGACCCATGTTTGCCTTGTTGTGGGACTCTTGGGGAGGGGTGCAGCCCCCCCGGGCCCACTGCAAGAAACCCAGATGGCTCTCCAGCCATCTCTTGACATGGGTTTGCCAGCCATGAAGCCCCCTCCCGTCGTGTCTGCTGGTTCAGCGCAAAACAGCTTGCCTAGAAGAGAAACCCAGGCAAGCTGCATCTGGTTCTCTGCTCAACTCGTTCCCATGTTCCCACCCACAGCCCTGCCCTTCTCCCGGTTTAACGTGCCCCACAGGCAGAACATCCTTCCCAGGCACAATTGTTCACCCCTGACTTTGAATCTGTCAGATATGGGGGGGGGCATGAAAAACAGGAGGGCAACTTTGTGCAAAAGAGTTTAAATCCAAAGATTTATTGAGGAAGCCCAAGAAGCAAAGAAGACAGTGGTAGAGCCCAAAGCTCTAACCCACTAGGTACGCTGTATGATTTTTGCACCTTTTAAAACAATTGGAGGGAAAAGATTTTAGAGACTGACCCAGCCTAGAGGTGTGGAATTTTGTGGGTAGAAAATCTCAGCCAGAGAATTGTGAGTTGCTTCATATTGTTGTCTTTCTCTTCTGCACCCGGCAGGTTTGAGAGGGCGATGCTGGAGTCTCGGAGAGTCCTCAGAAGGTAAGAGCGTGCGGGTTTTGTTGTTCTTTTTCGAAACGGAACAATCTTGTCTTGAAACTTGATGGAAACTGTGCCTAAGCTGTACAAAGTCAAAGGAAGTGGGGTTTAAGTCGTACCTTTCGCTGCAGGTCGAAAAGCTTCCAAAGCGTCTGCCTTAAAAACAGACCTTGCTCGAACTGGGGTATTACAGAGACGAAAAAGGCGCCACGCGTGGCCCTTGTGGGTCTTGTCTCTTTGTCCTGCCACCACAACTTCCAAGCCTGCTTTATATCCAGCATAAAATGAGAGCCCGGCCTTTCTGGATCTGCCTGGCTAGATGCACCTCTCTTTTTTTGTTATATTATTTGTTTTAAACTATACTCTTGCCTTTCTCCTGAAAGGACCCAGGAGGGCTTCCAGCAGAAAAAACAAGCAGCATTAAGACATTAAAACAATTAATTGTTACAGTATTTAAAAATACATCAACATATATAATTCTAAAACTGGCAGTATTTTAAAAAAGTTCTAAACTCCTGTTAAAAACAACCATGAGAAACCTTAACAGCCTCATTGTTGTTACAGTATTTAAAAATACATCAACATATGTAATACTAAAGCTGGCAATTTTTTTAAAAAAGTTCTAAACAGTTAAAAACAACCATGAGAAACCATAACAACCTCATTGTTAAAGAAAACACACACACACAGAGAGAGAGAGAACTCACTCACTCACTCACTCACTCAGAGGCAGGCAGTCCCTTGGGGAAAGCCTGCCGGAAGTGAAAGGTCTTCTTTGCCTGCTTGCAGAAGGGCAGCCGAGGGGTGGAGGGAAAGGTCTTCTTTGCCTGCTTGCAGAAGGTCAGCCGAGGGGTGGAGGGAACAGCCTGGCTTCCAGTGGGAGGGAGTTCCAAAGTATCTGGGAGCAGCCACAGAGATAACCATCTTCTATTGTGCCTCTGCTCAAGCTGCAGTTGCATGGTTCGGGAGCAGCAACAGGGTGGGCAAAGTCTTCTGGTTATGGGCGAGGAAGAACTGAGTAATGCCTCTGCTCAAGCTGCAGTTGCATGGTTTGGGAGCAGCAACAGGGTGGGCAAAGTCTCTGGTTATGGGCGAGAGAGACCTAGGTGACAAAACCCCGGGGGGGGGCGCAGGAGATGCCCAGGGGTGGAGCGCCCGCATTGCACACAGAAAGTCCCGGTTTCAACCCTGGGGAACCACCCTCTCCACCATGAAACCCCCCTGAGGAGCTCCACCAGTCAAGGGTGGGGAAAAGCAAGCAAGATAGAACCAAGCGTGGACTTGGGGGGGGATGCGTCCTGTTGCCTGGCCGGACAAGCATCTCTGTGGCTTTTCAGCCTCCAGGAACAAGGACGTAAATCAGTTTTCCAAGTGCTTTGGAAAGAGCCTGGGAATAAAAGGGCCCACCTCAGCCTGTCTGTGCAGCACCGCTGTGTGAGATTCCAAGGGAGATAATTATTGGCTGCCCCCCCCCCCCTCTGGCAGGTGAGCTCCTTTGCCGAGGTAGCAGGAGTCTGGAGTTTTTCAGGCCTCTGACGTTTGGGGGCCGTTCCTTTCTCCCATCTCTTCCCTTTTTTACGCAGGGGTTGAGTTGTTCTCTCCCCACCCAATTCCCTCTAACCTTCCCCCACCAACACACACACATAAACACGCTCAGACTTCTGAGATCCCCTTTTTTCCTGAGTTGCCACCTTGTTCCAAAAAGCAGATCGCCTCCCGCCTTCTGCCCCAGCCCACCTCTTTCCTGTCCCACCCTCCGCCTCTCATTTTTAGGCATGCTAAGACTCGTGGGCTCTGATGGCGCGGAGAAAGCCGTTACCCTCCGGTGCCTGGGGGGGGGAGCAGCGTGGGGGGGTGCTTTCTAAGCCAGCATTGCTGAAGAATCTTGGACAGGCTCCAGAGTAGTGGCAGGGGAAGGGCAGGCCCGGTGATGAAAAGGTAGGGGGGGAAAAATCCCTGGAGGAAGAAGCACTTGAAGTAGTGGCAGGGGAAGGGCAGGCCCGTTGATGAAAAGGTGGTGGTGGGGGAAATCCCTGAAGGAAGAAGCACTTTACATGTTCCGCTGAGTCTAGTGGCAAAGTTTTTCTCCTGAACTGTGAATAGATCCATTTCATTTTCTTCATGCAATTAAAAAAAATCAAGTTCTTCCTGTTGAGTATGAAAAGAAATGTGCAAAAAATGATGAATTCTTATTAAAAAAAAATGAGTCTGCTTTCTAAATCGTTTGCCATTGGCTTTTCCAAGCTGGGACAATTTGATTTAAATTTTAAAAACCAGGTTTTTGTTTGTTTGTTTGGATGATTTAAGCTTTAATAATCATTTTAAGAATCATCACCAATCATTGCTGGGTCACTAACAATCCCAGCTGTGGTGACCTGATGGTGTTTTTTGGCTGTGAAAGGCTCTCCCCCCTCATCTGGGGCGGGGGCTCCCAAAGGCTTCTTGAGTAGAATCAGACCGTGATGAGAGAGGGCTGAGATCTCACTGTGTGTGTCTTGTCTTTTTCCCCCCCCCAGTGAATCTCTTCCTATCAGAAGAATCCAGTCCTTGCCGGTAAGAGTAGCCGCTAGTTTGCTTTCAAGCCATTCCTTTGGGGGGGGGGAGAGTTCGCTTTGTTTGGGGCGTAACATTCAAGCGGAAGGAAGGAGCCGCTTTGGGAGTGTCAGTCTAGGCACCTAGAAGATGTTTGGGAGCCCAGGGCGATTGGAAATCCTCTGACCGTGTTCAGAGGCAAGGAACCTGGCATACCTTGGAATAGGATGCTGACACTGAGCTGTGTGGGTCTGCAGCGATCCTTGTTCTTCTTCAGTCATCCACGGGGATGCACAGAAGTGTTAAAACTCATCCCGCCCTTCCTTCGGGCCTCCGAACATACCTGGCCCGTTTGGGCCACCCGAGGAAGACATCGCCCGTTCCTTCCTCCCATGGACTGACCCGCTTTTGTTCCCAGGTGAGGCTTCTGGGTGCCAGCCCAACGCTGAGGAACATCTCCAACGCCATGGAGTTCCGTGGCTCCGCGGTCCCTGAGAGGGAGTCGAGGCTCAAAGGCCATGTGGAGAATGTAAGTTGGGCTGAGGCCAGTGGCTGTGGGCGATCCCTTCTCCTCCTCCTCCTCCTCGCAGGGAGCCTGGAACGTGTCTTCTCCCCTCCAGGAAGGTGCCGTCTTCAAGAAACCCTTGCAACCCACAAGCAGGCTGTCCTTTGGAGACAAAGACCGTTTCGCACAGAGACCCAGTTCTGCTCCAGATCTCATGGTGAGTGGGGTGCTCGTGGCGTGGCATGCATGGAGGGGTGTGCGCGTGCACGCCTTATGAACAGGGTGTCATTTGGGAGCCACAGAAATGTGCCGTGTCGTTCTCCAGTGGGAGAAAGATTTTATACTACCGTTTGGGTGTTTTGTTGGAAACCTGCATTTCTTGCTGCGGGGTTCCACAGCGTCTCAACCTGAGGTGCCATGGAGTCTTTCTCTTTTGGTGTGTACGTCTCTCTCTCTGTGTATAAGATTTTCATTATTTTAGGCTGACTTCTTTGACCTGTGGCGAAGCCCCCAGCTTTTGGTTCACTGGGGTAACAGGAGTCTTTGCCTTGGGGTAAAAGCAGAGACCTACATCATCCTAGCAGTCATTCTTTTTTGAAAGAAAACTTAGCCGTGCTGGTGTTAGTTGCACTTCCTTTTGGGGCGGAGAGAGAACTGCCTTTGCTACAGAGGGGGCTGACCCCTGAGGGGTCTGGGAGATAATCTCTCTCTCTCTCTCTCTCTCTCTCTCACACACACACACACACACACCAGAAAGCCCCACACTGCTTTACCAAGAGGATTGAGGGTCATCTCTGAAGAGGAGATGGGCAGTGTGTGCTGCAGGATCCTGAGAGAGAGAGAGAGAAAGCCCCACACTGCTTTGCCAAGAGGATTGAGGGTCTTCTCTGAAGAGGAGACGGGCAGTGTGTGCTGCAGGATCCCGTGGGGTCTGCTCCTTCCACCACGTTTCAGCCTGGCCTGATCTCCTTCCCCTTCCACATGCTCATTCTTGTATTGTGAGCGTGTTTGCACTGCTCTTCAGCAGAACTGTCTCTGTGAATGGCCAGGCCAGAGCGCTGTGCTCAGGGAAGGGTCCCCTTGCCTAGACGCCTGCAGGAAAAGGCACTGTGAAAACGAGCAGGGGGGTTGGACAGGAGACGCAAGCACACGGTCCGTAAAGTGACTCGTTGACTCTTCTAACGACCAGCTCGGAAGGAAACAGCCAAGGGAAGGCCCGGTGAAAACCCCTGCTCCTTTTCTCTCCCTCGGCTTCAGCTTTGCAGTCCCGACAAGGAGAACGTCGGCCCGGAGTTTGCAAGCCCTGTCTGCCTCCGACGCTCCTCACTGACATCCTTCATGACCGACGAGGACGATGGCTTTATGGAAATCCTGGATGAAGAGGAGCTGAAGGTGAGGCGGGGGTTGGTCATCGTGGAACCCCTGGCATCCGTCCGTGTGCTGTGCATGTGAAATGTATTTCCAAAATATGTGCCGCACCAGAGCAACGAACAGGCTGTGGGGTGTGATCTGTGGTTTGCAGCAGACTTGATGTGGCGCGAGGGGCGGGGAGGTTCCCACAGAACTTGCAGACAGATGGGTAAATTTTGGGCGGCGCTTCATCGACACATCTGTGCTTCATTCCGCAAACGTGTGTGTGTGTGGTTCTGAGTCCTGCTGCTTTTTTGGGGGGTGCCCCTTGTCCTTTGAATCACAGTGCGTGTACGGAGGGATGTCTAGGGGCAGGAACTCACAGCTAGGATAGTCTAAGGTGTGAGGGTTCCCCCACTCCCCCCAATAAGAGAACATAGAGGGTATGGCTGTTCCATTAAGCTGAACGGTGCACCAAAACCCAGATCCTAGTAGGGAGGCTCTGAGCCACCCCTTTGAAGGGAGCTTGGATTTTGTGCTGCGGTGCAACGAGCGAGGGGCCTGGACCTCTTTGGCACCAGATGGCACTGCTTTCGCCCTGTCGGCTTGGGCGCATGCTGGGCTCAGGAGTGCCGAGGGTGCTCTGGCGTGGGTGTTCTGGTCTCCATCCCTCCCCTTTTGGGGAGGACGGGGAGCCGCACCTTCCACACGTGGCCCTGGCTGCCTCTCCCAGCTGCCTGAGCCAGCAGAGCCCACTGATGAGGAAGGGGGTGGGGGGGCGCATCCCAGCGACGTTCGGAGGCTGCTGTTCACCCACCCCTGGACTAGCACTTGCTTCGCCATGAATGGGGTGTGTGTGTGTGTGTGTCCTTCGCTCCCACCCCTGGACTAGCACTTGCTTCGCCACGAATGGGGTGTGTGTGTCCTTCGCCTCACACCTCAGAGACACGCCCAGGGGAGGAACCCGTTGGGCTCAAGGGTTCTGTTCCCCCCCCCCCACGAGGGTGGCCTTGCCTGTGGCGTTGGGCTCCCTGCAGAAGAGCTATGAGGAGAAGAACACGCAGAGAGGAGGGATTTGCAAGAGTTCTTCCTGGCTGTGCTTCACTTTGCTTTTAAACAAGGAGGGGGGCCCCTCAGATTCCACAGCCATGCCCCAAGCTGTTGTTCCCCACCAAAGAAAAGGGACTAAGTTTTGTAGTTAGAAACGTTTGCACCCGGGTTTGCTCCTGAGTAGAGTTGGCTTGGCTTGGCTTGGCTCACCCGACCCATGGCTGGACTTCCAACACTTCCCGGGGATCCTCCCCAAACTGAGAGTTGAGTCCTAGTTTGAGAATGGATTCCCTGCTGCTGCGTTCTTGCGAGGTCTCCTTGTTCTGACTGCAGAGAAGATCCATGCAGAGAGACCCTTTGGGGTGGCCTGGCTCTCCTGGTGAGCAAAAAGCACAGGAGAGCATTTTTTGGGGGGGAGAAGGAGGTGTACCCCTCTGCCTTGGAATGTCTGTCTGTGTGTGTGTCTGTGTGTGTGTGTTGGAGCCACACTTTTGCCTGCCTGCCTGCCTGCCTGCCTGCCTGCCTGCTTGCCTTCTGGGGAGAGAGGGTGGGATTTGAGCCCCTCCTGCAAGTTGGAGGGCATGTGTGGGGTGGGGTGGCTTTTTTTTCTGGCTGGTTTGTTTTCCCCAACAAGCCAGGCTGTCTCTGGTGCCCTGATTTTTACTGGGCTGTCCATTCCCTTTTACAGAGTGATGCAGGCGTCCCTTTAGGTATGGAGAACTTGCTGATGGCTCCACTGGTGAGAAAAGAGGAGGAGGAGTCTGCACAGGTGTGTGTGTGTGTGTGTGTGTTCCTTCCTTCCTTCCTTCCTCCCTGTCCTGCGTTGGTTCTGCCTTCATGTCTTGCCTTCCACCTTCCTTTTTCTTTCTTTACTTCTTTCATGATTAACCTCTTTTCTTCTTGTGTGTTTTCTTTTCTTTCTTTCTTTCTTTCTTTCTTCCTTCCTTCCTTTCTTTTATTGTTCATTATTTTGGTCCTTCATTGTTTTCCTTTTTCTCTCCTTCCTTCCTTCCTACCTACATAGGCTGTAAAAGACCACTGAAAAGCCCAAAATGAAAAAAGAAGCAATTAAAACTTGTACCAGACAAGATACTCAACCCCCCGAAAGCGTTAATCAAATAAGTGTCTTCTAGTTCAGGAAGGAGTCTTGAAAATCTATAGAAGTGGTTTTTTTTGGGGGGGGGGGAATTGGGGGGAAGAGATGATGATCAGGTCAGGTTTGCCAGAGGGGACCATGAGAGGGGTTGCCCTAGAGGGGAAGGGGCCGCAGGTCCCGTGGCCGAGTGCTTGCTTGGCCGCCCCAGCTCCCGGCCGGATGGGGCACAGCCTCTCTCTCGCTGGGGAGCAGCTCCTGCTCCAGGTTACATTAAGCGGGGAGGGGCCGGCAGGGTTTGGACTTGGTTTAGGGCAGGACCTGATGGATCTGGTGACCGATTGAGAGAAGGCGAACTCGGCAGGTCCGTACGTGCAATGTGGTTCATGGGGGACGTGGGAGACGTGGCTTGCTCTCCTCCTGGGGCTCAGCCCAGGTGCCCAGGAGCGTTTGCCTGCTGGCCCCTGTCCGTCTGGGCTTGGGGAGGGTTCAGGGAACCCTCTCTGGGACTGGCAAGGATGGAACCAGGCCGGGTGCAGAGGTCTGAGTTCCAAGGAGCCGAGTTCCCTTCTTCTTTGGCAAAGAGACCCCTGGGTGAGCGCAACTCCTCTTATAGGGAATTCTCAGTGTGA